CCTCCCTCCCTCCCTCAAATGGGTAGATTGTGGGAACAGCTGCTGTGTTTTCCTGTGCACATTGCAAGCACGGCAGAACTGGCCGTACCTTTAATAACTTGCTTGTTCAACCCCAGTGGCATGCTGGAATAGTTAGACGAGATCTGGGAGGACCCAGGTTCCAGTCCCCCCTCTGCCTTGGGAACTCACTGGGTGACCTTGGGCCAGTTGCCGGCTCTCAGCCGAGCCCACCTTGCAGGGCTGTGGTGAGGAAACAAGGGAGAAAGGGAAAATGTTGAAAGCCACTTCGGCTCATTGTGTGGGGGGAAAGGCGGGAGGATAAATGAAATACTTGAAATAGAGGTTCTTAAAGGATTTTTAAATGCCTATTTGCGGTAAGCAAGCCTTTTAAAAAAAAGTAATCCTGACTCTCCTTGCAAAAATGACTAGGCGGGCCATAGCTGTAGTATTGTATCCTAGATAGGTCTGTTTTATGGTATCACAAATATAGAGTCCAGTGGCACCTTTAAGAGCAACCAAGTTTTCTTCAAGGTATGAGCTTTCGTGCGCATGCACACAAAAGCTCATTCCTTGAAGAAAAACTTGGTTGGTCTTAAAGGTGCCACTGGACTCTTAAGTTTGTTCTACTGCTTCGGACCAACATGGCTGACCCATCTGGATCTATGTTTACGGTATTACAGTTCTAGAAGCGTATGTTGTCCCTGGCCCAAAGGACGTCTGTCTTGCCTCGACCAGGGCCAGGGCCTTTTCCACCCTGGCCCCTGCCTGCTGGAACATGCTCCCAGTCGAGATTTGGGCCCTGCGGGATCTTCTTCAATTCCGCAGGGCCTTTAAGATGGAGCTGTTCCGCCAGGCCTTTGGCCGAGGCAGCGGACGTCTCTCTATGGCCTCCCTGAGGTGGTTGTCACCTATCCACCTATCCCATCTGTTAACCCAAATAATATGCTAAAGAACCGTACAACCAGTGACCGTCAGAAGTATGATTGAGTTTTAATGTTATTGTTTATATTTTCTAACTTGCTTAGTTATAATCGTATTTATTGTACCGTCTTTATGGTGTTACCCACCCTGAGCCCGCTTGCGGGTAACATCATAAATAGATAAAATAAATAATAAATGTTCCTCCTTAACGCTGGCCACCATCTCCACTTTGTCTAGAAGCCAGTGAAGTTTCCAGCCAGCCAGCTCCAGAGGAGGAGGAGGAAGACCAAGACCAGAGCGAGGATCAGGATGTCCCAGACCTCACTAATTTTGTAATAGAAGAACTGAAACAGTAGGTATATCCCTTAAGGGGTCACTGCGAAAGCTAGTCACGGCAGTTTCATTGTCTTTGGTCTGAGGGGTGAAAGGTCAGGAAGCGCCTCTCTTAAGAGCAAGCGAGTGCAAAGCCAGATGGTTTTCGTGTTGCTAATAGGTATTTAGATACTGCCGTGATCTTTAAAGTAGGATCTTTCGTTTGAATTACGAATGAGCAAGTGGTGGCATTAAAATGGACTCCTTTGATCTAGATGCAAAGGGTGGCGAGGGCCCTCATAAGGAAACGTAGCCGCTTCTGGATGCCCTGCACCTGGCCATTGTTTGCATATGTTTATTTGTATATGTTTACAGGCAATGCCTGTGTTCCTGTAGGGTGTTGATGAGTGAATTACACCAACAAGGCACTAAGTGGACTCCTTTTAGACACCTTCCAACTTGAAAGCAAGCTTTTCCTTGCATTTATATATTTTTTACACCATCTGATATTCTTGAAGTTTTCCTCCCCCCATCCCCCTTCCCTAAAAGTCGATGCCGTAACCGGCTGCTAAGGAGTTTCTGACTTGCTCGCAGGCGTCACGATAGTGTCATCAACCGGCTGTACACTGGCATTCAGTGCTACTCTTGTGGGATGAGATTCACAACGTCACAGACGGACGTGTACGCCGACCACTTGGACTGGCACTATCGGCAGAACCGCACAGAAAAGGACGTCAGCAAAGGACGTCGGCAGGAAAGTCACTCACAGAAGATGGTACTACAGCTTAACGGTAAGGGTTTGCTCTGTCCATACGGGCAGCACATATAGAATTAATTCCAGGGGGTTGTGACCAGTGTTCCCTCTAAGCTTGAGTTAGTGTGAGCTAGCTCACAGTTTTTTAGCCTCCGGCTCTCACATTTTTGTCTCAGCTCAGGAAGGATGGCTCCAGAGCAAACTAATTTATGCAGTAGCTAAATCTCTCGCTCACAACTTTAATGCCAGCAGCTCACAAAGTAGAATTTTTGATCACAAGACTCCACAGCTTAGAGGGAGCATTGGTTGTGACAGATGACAGTAAATTAAAAAACAAAATGTGTTTGCACTTCAAGCAGAATCTTCTGTAGACCTTCAAAGATGAATTCTACTGAAAGTCCTGACCCTTCTGTGAAAGCTTATTACATTTTTTCAAGAAGGTTTTGTCCTAACAACAGCTATAGGAATGACCTCAAATCATCAGGAATTTCCCCCCTCTAATCTCTTCCTTGGATTGTTGCTGATGCCTGCATGTTTGACTGAAAGTACATCTATGTATATGTATATATTTCTGGGCTAAATCCTCCCTTCCTGAACTAGTCTGGGAGTTAGAGCCAGGTGGGTAGCCATGTTGGTCTGAAGCAGTAAAACAAAGTTACCTGTGAAGCCCTCCTTTTAGGGGAGGACTAGTTTCCCTTTAAAAGTGCTCTTTATTTTGTTTAACCGGGTATTTTCTGCTGCCACCAGGAATTTTTAAGGATTTCCAAACCTTTATGCTTTTTCTGTTTCTCTTACTAATTTTGTAGACCGAGTTCAAGGCTTATGGGGAACTATGTGGTCCTGGGAAGTATTCCATTCAGAGCTGGTATAAACTTGGATTAAAGAGGATTTATTGAAATAAGTACTACATAAGTGGGTGGTTAAAATGTAACTAGGAATATGTAAATGATGAACAACTGATTGGGTATCATACACAATTTTATCCCTCTCTCTGACAGGGATCTTTTCTTTGCAAGGTTGTAACCATTGTTTATTTCAATGCCATATATGTTCACTGTTTCACTCCAGTTTGTTATGACACTCAGACTTTCCTATAACCTTTCTTCAATTAAACTTTCCTTTAGCTTATCCTTTACACTCAGCTCTCAGCTCTCTTTCTCTTTCTGACTGAACAACCTCAACTGTCAACTTCTAACTGATTCCCCACTCCTGACTGACACCTACGCATCCACTCAGATTCACTTCCAAAACCCCTCCCCCTCTCTGTCAACCACCAATCATACCATACTTGCATCTCTCAACCACTCTAGTCTACCTACCACAGCCATGCAACCAAACTTTTAATGCGACACACACACACTCAAAGAAGGAATCATTACATTACCCAGTGGCATCTTTAGGACCAACAAAGTTTTATTTAAAGTATGAGCTTTCATATGCACACACACACTTCCTCAGATACAATGAAATGGAATTTACCAGTCCATACATACCAGGCAGAGGATAAAGAGGAATAACAAGCTAAGTTCATAAGGTCACCACTGTTTGACTTTAAATCCGGGGAAAGACAGCGAAGCAAATAAATATGTCAGAATTGGAGATAAATATGTAAATGTGTCGTTCTTAATTGTGGAATGCTAAGAGTAATTACCTGAGACCTTGTTGTTAGCTCCATCTGTCCCCTCTCAAACATGGAGGTAACTAATAGTATCTTTTCCTTTGAGGTGGGGTGATTGGTAGTATAGCATTTTGTCTCCTCTGTTACCAGACCACAGAAATGCATTCCAATATACTGTTCTAATATTCATTGCCTTGCATGACAATCACATTACAACTTTGTAGTTTGGGAGTTGCGTTGTTCAGTCAGTGCTGCGTTCACCCAGTATTGCCTATATACTATTAGCAGCCTGATTAGCCACAGTTATTACTTGGCTGGGAGGACTGCCAAGGAAGACTAGAGGCTGTTACGCAGAGGGAAAGCAGTGGCAAATAACCTCTGCA